TTCTTGAATCCCATACATTGTGTTTCCATAAAACATAGCAGATTCTAATCTACTTCAGAAACAGCAACTTTGAAGTGTGCGTATGTGTGTGTTCGATTTTTTTTGGAAAGCATAATTCTCTAAAAAGGAAGCACAAAGCAGATTATTCTGTGACTGCTACAGTATTAGTGAGCAAAGGCATTGAAATGCAACAAGTTTAAAGTTGCACTCCTTCTCTATGCATGGTTAGTCCTTGTAACTCATTGCCACAGGACATGGGTAGGCAAACAAAGGCCCAGGGGCCGGATCCCAATTGCCTTCTAAATCTGGCCCATGGATGGTCCGGGAATCAGCATGTTTTTACATGGGTAGAATGTGTGCTTTTATTTAAAATGCATCTCTGGGTTATTTGTGGGGAATAGGAATTCGTTCATCCCCCCCCCCAAAAAAAATATAGTCCGGCCCCCCACAAGGTCTGAGGGACAGTGGACCGGCCCCCTGCTGAAAAAGTTTGCTGATCCCTGCCATAGGATGTGGCGGTTTAAATTTGGGTATCTTTTAAATGAGTGATAATGACCTACATCTTCCTACCAGGAGTGCTTTAGTCTACATAAAATTGGAAGTGGATAACTGAGGCACAGTACTTAGCAGAAGTTTTGTCCTGCCTGGTTAGCATCCTTAAAAATCTGGTCCATTGTCCTTTATCCTGTAGCGACCTATCGAATACCTAAAGAAAGCACACAAGCAGGAAATGAAGGCACTAACCCTGTTCTTGCTGCTGTTCCCCAGGAGCATGCTGGATTTTGCATATAGTTGTAGCCATTGATTTCCCTATCCTCCAAGGATATGTCTCATTGACTTTTAAAGCTATCTGTTGGCTGGCTGGTAAGATGCTCTCCCAATAGCTAGCAAATAGCTGGAAGGCTCAGCCTGTCATCCAGGCAGCGATCGCTGCTGGGGAGATAGTCTAGCACAGGTGGGGCAGCACTGGTTCTAGGTTCAAAGTCATGTCCTGGCTCCAGTGAGCAGAGCTGGGCCAGGCCAGAGTCGAATTCCAGAAAGGCCAGAGAACGCGAGTCTGGTTCCAATATGAAAGTCAGTTGGCTGCAAAGGGTTGGGTTCTAAGATGGCTGCTATGAGTGAGGTTCCAGAAATGTGCCCAAAGTCAAGTTTAGGTCTTTGATAAGCGGAAGGAGCAGCATGGAGAGCTTTGAGCGGTACTGAAAGCTGGGCAAATTGAATTTGGACGTTGTTCTGACAACTAGCAGATTCAAGTGGCTGGCTCCATCCCCACAATGAATGAGGATTTCACTGTGAATGGGGAACTGCTTACTTTAGGAACCTTTGAGCGTGGAGGTGACGGCAGCCTGCTGGTAGCTATGGTACTGGATTTCAATGATGGGTGCTACCTCCTCAGCACAATGTGTGTGTGTGGGGGGGGGACTGTTTTGTTGTCCCCACTCAGGAGCTACCTTTGTGGCTTCTCTCACTTCAATTAAAAGTGGATGATGTGATGTGGTAACTCCTCCCATGGGTCTTTTGTTTGTTTGTTTGTTTGTTCAGGAATGGTGTGCAGCCAGAGAAACTGCAGAGCGCCGGATAAATCAAACATTTGCAAATTCTTACGTGTACTGCAAAAGAGGCAGGAACACAAAAACGCCTTTTGCAGGTGAAGAGAAATTGGAAGACAGTTTTGGCACAGCACAAGATCTGTGCAGCACATCTTATTTCAGGTGTGAGAGCAAGGCGCTGTCTTGGGCCTCTTCCGCTGAGGAGGTGGGATTAGGCCCCTGGTTTATGACATCCTTCTTAGTGGAGGCATACCTTTCTTGCCCTCCCAACCTCAGCTAAGGACAATGTCATCTGGGTCTGGGTCTGTGAAAAGGACCAAGGGAAGGGAAGCTGGAGTGCTGGTGTGAGACTAAGTCAGAGAACTAGCTTTGAGCTCTGGAGAACACCTTTTAGGGCTGTCTCACAGGAGAGGTGATACGGGCACAAGAGACTTCACTCTTTGTAGAAGTAAAGCTTTGTGTCCACATATGCTCAACTTGGTTATGACTTGCTTATGTGGTATCTTTGCCTCACAGTGCCCTCTCCTGAAATACCAATCTTGTCACAGTTACCAATGCCTGGTGATGCCTACATTAGATTATGATTATTTTAATGTTATTTATTTATTTGAGATATTTCTACACTGCTTAATTATTCCCCCTTCTAAAAAAAACCATCAGAAGAGGGGACAATAAGACAATAAACAATTATTATGAAATTAAACAGAACCTTGAAATGCCGGTTGTAATGCATTACACATGGGGCTGCTTGTGGAGAAAGTTCAGAAACAAAATGGGAGAGGAAGGTTATGAAGTTGGAATTGATCAGATATTGTCAGTATTGAAAGACCTTCTTGGCTCCTGAGTGGTTTCCAGGCACAATGCACAGTACCGTTTTGTTTTGTTTTGTTTTGTTTGCCTGTCAAACTATAAATAGCCTAGGACCCAGATTATCTGAAGCACCACCTACTCACAGATGAACCTATCAAAGTGTAGACGTAGTCAGATGAGGTCCTGCTTTTGAGGTCCACCAGCTTCAGGAGTGTGGCTTGTCCGTGTTGGTAACTCTTGCAAATGCTTCTGCCTGGTGCTCACCCTACTATTCCCAATGCACCAGGTGAAACCTGCCCTGCTTTCCAAAATTTTTGGCAGGATGGAATGATGGCATTTGTAGATGACTTTTCCTGTTAATGCTGAAGCTTTTCCTGCCTGATTTGGACGGCTTCATTTTGTGTTTTATTACTGCATTGTCTTATCTGTGTATGCAAGTTGCGTGGGAAATTATTGATTTGGTATAAATCATTAAATAACAAAAAGTTTGGATTTGTGGGTGAGTTTAGGCAGGTTTTATGAAAGCTGAATGCAGTGGGAAATGTATTACAAATGCTTTGAACTAAGTGACCTCAAGACGTATTGTTTCAAATGAATTAAGGAGGCAAATAGTATACAATCATTCTGGATGATTTAATTGTTCTTGAGTGAGTTTGACTATATATCATTATCTTGTAGCAATTTTTTGGCCTCCAAAGGAAAGGTGGCTGCAGGAGGTTTTCCTCCTGACGTGACTGTGATTTCCCTCCCCATTGCAGCATTGGCTGCATGGAGGGGTTCCTCTTTGCCTTTCTGCAATACAAGGGGAATTTAAGATGGGTCACCTGAGCTCTGGGATGGGCTCTGTGACTGCACTGTGCTAAGAATATAAGAGCTTGCTGGATCAGGCCAATGACTCATCTAGTTCAGCCTCCTGTTCTCATAATACCCAACCAGATGTGTGTCGGAAGCAAGATAGGAGTGCAACAGCGCTCTGCCCATCTCCATTTCTGATCAACTGGTATTCAGAGGCATACTGCTAATAGCCTTTATGTGTGTGGTATACAGTCATGCCTTGTGTTGCGTTAGGTTCATGTTGCGTCTTTTCAGCTTGCGAAGGCGGCAAACCCAGAAGTGTGTATGGATCGTGTCCGCAACTAGAGGTACCACTGTACAGTGGTACCTCTGGTTACGAACTTAATTCGTTCCAGAGGTCCGTTCTTAACCTGAAACTGTTCTTAACCTGAGGTACCACTTTAGCTAATGGGGCCTCCCGCTGTTGCCGTGCTGCTGCCGCACAATTTCTGTTCTCATCCTGAGGTAAAGTTCTTAACCCAAGATACTACTTCTGTGGAGTCTGTAACCCGAAGTGTTTGTAACCTGAGGTGTTTGTAACCTGAGGTGTTTGTAACCTGAGTCTGGGATCTGTTCCGGAGCCCCGGACGCTCGATGAAAGGGACGCTTGACAAATCGCCGCTCTGCGCACGCACGCGGAGTGGTTTGTGCTTCTGCACATGCGTGAGCGGCAAACCCAGAAGTAATCTGTTCTGGTACTTCCAGGTTTGCCGCTGACGTTCGCTGAAATGGACAGTCGATGGGGCGGACGTTCGCGGAGGTATTACTGTATGTGTGTGCATGTGTGAAGTTAAGAAGTAACAATGCCCACTGCATGCCTGCAGCCCTGGGGGTTTTGCAAAAGGGGCAATGTGATCCTTGGGCTGAAAAAGTTTACCCAACCCCTGTGCTAGCCAATAGTTGAGTTTGGCAGGGTGCTTTTAGTGGGTTGTACGTGGCTTAAAGTGAAAGGAGATGAAAACAATCGCCTTTTTCAAGGTCAAAGGCCTACAGCATATATTCAGCTCCCACCTCAGTTTTATGTGGGCCCCACGTGTTACCAATTCTTAGTTCTCTCCCATCACCCTGCACCCAAATACAGTTGTACCTCGGGTTAAGTACTTAATTCATTCTGGAGGTCTGTACTTAACCTGAAACTGTTCTTAATCTGAAGCACCACTTTAGCTAATGGGGCATCCTGCTGCTGCCGCGCCGCCGGAGCACGATTTCTGTTCTGAAGCAAAGATCTTAACCTGAAGCAATATTTCTGGGTTAGTGGAGTCTGTAACCTGAAGTGTATGTAACCTGAAGTGTATGTAACCCGAGGTACCACTGTAGGCACACACAGAGACCAATGAAATGAAGCCCCTCTGTGCTCATGCCATATTTAAAAGGCTTCCAGGTCAGACTCTCATGTTCCTGGGATTGCAATGATTTTCCTCTTCAAGTTTTGGAAGCTTTGACTCTCACAGGCTTAAATCAGCTCTGAATCTTTTCCAAGAACCAGAAGCTCTGGTGCTTCCTTTGCATTCTCCGCAGAGTGTTCCCTTCTAGGTCATGTGCAGGACAGTTCAAGGAAGCTTGCATTGTTGCAGCTCCACTCATGTCAAAAGGCTGGGCTTGGTTTTCTCCTTCAGCCCACATTATCGCTAAACAAAAACAGAAAAATAAGACACTTTGGAATTTTATCTTTTTTCTGAATGTCATCTTTGTTGGGAGAATGATGGGGTTTTTTTTTGTGTGTGTGTGTGCACGCAGTAAGCATGAATGCCAAGCAGATATCGTTCAGTCTCTGAAACATTTGCTTTCCTTTTCCCTCCTCATTAGAAATTGCGCTTGCAGAATGAGCCGCTTTCCTCGGAAAAGTTCCTCGGAGCTGCTGCAGTCAGAATGCAGGCATTCCAGGGCAGATTCCTCGAGCAACTTAGCAATGGATACTTTTTGGCTAGAGGTGGAGAGCATCAAAGAGAGTACCGAATGTGAGCCGGACGAATGCAACCTTACGGATGCCAAGCCCCCAGAAGGTAAAAAGCTTCTGTAGCTCCACTTGAGTTGTGGGAACGAAGAATACAGTCATACCTTGGGTTGAATACGCTTCGAGTTGAGCACGTTCGAATTGCACTCCTTGGCAACCCGGAAGTAATGGAGCGCATTACTTCTGGGTTTCGCCGCTTGTGCATGTGCAGACGCTCAAAATGATGTCACGTGCATGCGCAGAAGTGGTGAAAAGCGATGCGTGTGCGCGCAGACGTGCCGTCGCTACTTACGTTTACTTCTAGATGTGAACGGGGCTCCAGAATGGATCCCATTCGTATCTAGAGGCACCACTGTAATTTGCAAAAGTGCCTGTTTACTGGAGTCATCAGTTGAGTAAGATGCTTAAAGGGGGGGGGGAGGCATATTTTATTATTTATTTTTGTGCTGCATTTAGATCCCCCCTTTCCTCCAAGGAGTCTTAAGGTTTCATATATGGTTCCCCCCCTCCCTCATTTAATTCCCCTGTGAGGTAGGTTAGGCCAAAGTTGCAGGTTCAATCCCCTTAAAGGACAGCTGCATATTCCTTCATTGCAGGGGTTTGGAACAGGGTTCCTTCCAACTCTGTGATTCTATGAAATCCTTCTGTGTTTGAGGGGCAGAAGAAGTCCCTGTAGCCATGTGACTGGTTCCCAGATGATGAACTGAAATTCTGAAAACCAGTTTCTGGAAACTGCAGGAGGGGAGAGTGCTCTTGTTCTCAAATCCTGCTTGCAGTTTTCTTAGAGGCATCTGTCTGGTCAGCAACTGTGAGAACAGAATGCTGGACAGATGAGCCATTGCACTGATCTTGCGGGCTCTTTTGTGTTCTGTGTTTTTAGGGGTATGGAGTTTGGGGTTCATTGATGTGAAACTCAGGGCATGGAATTTGTTTTGAAAATAATGCTTAAAAGTACCCTTAATTCCCCACTCCCCATTTTTTAAAATAAGATTCTTAAAAACAAACAAACCCAGACATATTAATAATCGGTTGTGCGCACACCTTTCTCCTTCACCAAGAAGAATTGGGCTATAAATGGATGCCGAGTTTTGTGGTTCCATCCCCCAAGGGGCATGTTGCATGTCTGGCTAGACTTAAGGGGAGAGGAAATGAAAACTCCCATGGGGAAACAACTACCTCTGCCTTCAAGAGGAACTGAGTAATAATCATTGCTTGCTTGGAATTTCTTGCTTGTGACCAAAGCTTGTCAGAAGAAAACAACTACACAACAGAAGGTGGTATGCTGCTTTTCGTGTTAATACAGTCGTACCTTGGTTCTCGAACGGAATCCATTCTGGAAGTCCATTCAACTTCTGAAAACGTTCGAAAACCAAAGCACAGCTTCTGACTGGCTGCACTCAATTGGAAGCAGCAGAAGCCACGTCGAACATTTGGCTTCCAAAAAACGTTAGCAAACCGGAACACTTACTTCTGGGTTTGTGGCGTTCAGGAGCCAAAACATTTGAGTCACAAGGCGTTCAAGAACCAAGGTACGACTCTATGTCTCTGTGTGTATACATGCACCTTAGTTTCACAGTAAATGCTGATGCTACATAAAGCCTAATTGTTTGAACCCACTAGGTGGTGCTACAAATAATCTCTTTTCCAATAGCCTGTTTCTCTGTGTGTAAGCATCTTAGTTGGCCCTAAAGGTAAAGGGGCCCCTGACCATTAGGTCCAGTCGTGGCCGACTCTGGGGTTGTGGCGCTCATCTTGCTTTACTGGCTGAGAGAACCGGCATACAGCTTCCGGGTCATGTGGCCAGCATGACTAAGCCACTTCTGATGAACCAGAGCAGCACACGGAAACGCCGTTTACCTTCCCACTGGAGTGGTACCTATTTATCTTCTTGCACTTTGACATGCTTTCAAACTGCTAGGTTGGCAGGAGCAGGGACCAAGCAATGGGAGCTCACCCCGTTGCGGGGGTTCGAACTGCTGACCATCTGATCAGCAAGCCGAAGAGGCCCTGTGGTTTAACCCACAGCGCCACCCGCATCCCTTGGATGGCCCTACACAGGGCCTAATTGTTTGGGACCACTGGGGAGTGCTGCAGGTAGTCCATTATCCAGTAGCCTTTTTAAATGTATTGGAGGTTTTCCAGAGCAATCATAAATTTGAGCATGGGAGGAAATGTCACGTCCTGCATAGATGAACAGCCGCACAAAGAAAATAGTTGGGGATATTATCCTCATTTTAAGAGAAATTGAATTTTATTCTCAGCAGAAAACCATTGTTTATCCATGGATAAAACGCTAGAGCATACAGACAGACAGAACCAAATATATCCATAACATATATTCAACACAAAATTGGAGAAATTACAGTCATGGTGAAGGTTTGTTTTTTGCACAATTGTATTTCCAGATGAGAAAAGGCTTAACCTGTTGAAGTGTTTGCCCAGAAAATAAAACAGACGCAGGAAAAGTGCATTAAAAGGGAAGGGGAAACAGCAGGTCTTTAGGACCCTGAGGGTTCCTATTACCTGGTGTTCAGACAACTCACCAGCCAGAGTTCTGACTTTGGCTAAAAGAACTGGCAGGTGGGATCAGCCAGTCTTGCTCATTTTACAGAAATTGCTTAGAATGGTACCTGTATATTTTACTGCATAGCTTGCTTTAGAGGAGAGCTTAAGATTTTGTTTTAAAAAAACAATGAAAGCTCAGAGTCTTGTGACTGTGGGGCCCAGGCTGGCGACCTCAGATGTGGAGCTATTGCAGTAATCTATTGCAACTAAAGCATATGCTTCCTTAGCTAGATAATATTTCCCCAGGAAGAATCACAGCTGGTGCACTAGACTAAACTGAGCAGAGAGAGGCACATTTGGCCACTGCTGCCACCTGGCTCTTCAGACGTAAAGCTGCACCCAGGAGCAGTCCTAAACTGCAAACCTGATTCTTCAAGGGGAGTCACCCCCATCCAAAACAGGCTGAATCCCTCTTCTGTCACCTGGTTTAGGAGCACAATTGTCCCGTCTTGATTGAGGCCTCCTTAGTCCAGCTCCAGAACTCTACATCAGTGCTAGTTCATAGACTCATCAATGTTTTGTGGGTTTTCTTTGGGCATTTTTTGTATTCCAGCTGTTGAACTGCCCATGATAGATGCTGTGTAACTGCTTTTGGAAACCTCAGAGGAAGGCCACCTAGGTATGTGGTTTCAGGTAGTTTGATGGAAATGCCTTGGCTTGCCTCCTTTTCTTCATGAGAAGGAGGGACCACATAACATTTATCTTGC